TATGTGTGTGTGTGTGTGTGTGTTTAATTGCTCTTTTAGCTACTTTTGCCTGAACCTAACACTGTAAGTGATACAAGGCATTTCTTGAGTTGCTGTAAATTATGATATAATAATTATAATGCATATTGTAACACCACCACCTGCACTTTCATCCGTTAGCCCACTACGGTACAAACTGTACACATAATCTACTATCTACTGTTCATAAGTACTCACATACTTATATACATTTTTCTTTTATATAGCTCTTCATACCTCTTCATATTATAACCTGTTCATAGTCTGTCCACTCACAACCTGTATATATTTATACCTATAGCATATTCAAAGCAACTTACTGTATATTGTACTATATCCATCCATTATCTTTACCCGTTTATTCCATTTTTGGGTCACGGGGGTCGCTGGTGCCCATGTCCAGCAATCACTGTGCGAGGGGCGGGGGACACCCTGGACAGGTCGCAAGTCCATCACAGGGACACATAGAGACAAACGAGACAAACAACCATTCACTCTCTCTATTGTACTATATATATCTACCAATTTATTTTTCTTGCTAAGCACTTCTGGATAGATGCAAACTGCATTTCGTTGCTTTGTACCTGTGACATGTGCAATGACAATAAAGTTGAATTCTATTCTATTGTATAAAACATATTTACTGTCTCATTCCAGAAAACAACAACAACAACAACATCCTTCATGATGGACAGACATCATGGACACCACAGCAGCAGCTGTCTTCACTGAAACATCCTGAACATGATCGTCACTGACACGAGGCCTCTGTCCATGGTTGAAGACGAAGGCTTCACTACAATAATCCACACTTTTAATCCAGGTTACAATATTCCACACCTTTAATCCAGGTTACAATAATCCACACCTTTAATCCAGGTTACAATAATCCACACCTTTAATCCAGGTTACACTCTTCCCTCAAGGACACATTTTACAAAGTAGCTACATATTTTGCAGGTATAAAGATACATTTGTATATATTTTTGTGTACATTTATTTTTTTTAACTATTTGACTAACTTTTATTTTTTATTATTCAATATTTTACTAACACAATAGTCAAATAGCAGCCTGTTTTTGTGTGAATTTCTATGTCAGTCAAATGTTCAATTTTGGAATAAAGGGGTGGAAATTAAAATGTTGTTGTTGTTTTTTGCAGATTCATCGATTAATCGAAAAAAATAATCGCCAGTTTATTTTGAATTGAATCGTGACACAAAAAATTGGAATCGAATCGCCAGACACCGAGAGATTCGAACCCCTACTAGTCACTAGGCATGATGGGTGCATCCCTTCACCTGCCTCTCTTCTTACCCTGATGCACCATCACTCTGGAACAGGTCTGAACTCATCAGACCACATGACCTTTTTCCATTGCTCCAGAGTCCAATCTTTATGCTCCCTAGCAAATTGAAGCCTTTTTTACAGTTAGCCTCATTGGTTAGTGGTTGTCTTAAGGCTACACAGCTGTTCAGTCCCAATTCCTTGAGTTTCCTTCACATTGTGCGTGTGGCAATGTTCTTACTTTCACTATTAAACACAGCCCAGAGTGATACTGTTGTTCTTCCATTTGATTTCACCAAACGTTTAAGTGATCGCCGATCACGATCATTCAGGATTTTTTTTCCGGCCACATTTCTTCCTGGAAGACGATGGGTCCCCACTATCCTTCCAGTTTTTAATAATAAGTTGGACAGTTCTTAACCCAATTTTGGTAGTTTCTACAATCTTCTTGGATGTTTCCTCTGCTTGATGCATGCCAATGATTTGACCCTTCTCAAACAGACTGACATCTTTTCCACGACCACGCAATGAAATGAGATGCAACTCATTCCACCAGTTGGGGTTAAATAACTTGTTGCAGCTGAAAGATAATCGTCCATGCAGTAGTTATCTAATAGGAGGCTCGTACCTGTTTGATTAGTTAAATCCAGGTGGCAACTTTTTTTGGGGCCCGGGAGTTTGGTGTGTGTGTATATATATATATATATATATCCATTATCTTCTACCCATTTCTTCCATTTTGGGTCACGGGTATCTCCAGTGCTCATGTCCAGCAATCACTGTGCAAGGGGCGGGGTACACCCTGGACAGGTCTCCAGTCCATAGCAGGGACACATAGAGACAAACGAGACAAACAACCATTCTGTCTCTCACCTTGGGACAATTTAGAGTTACCAATCAGTCTAACATGCATGTTTTTGGTCTGTGGGAGGAAACCAGAGCACCTGGAGAAAACCCACGCATGCACGGAGAGAACATGCAAACTCCACCCAGAAAGGGCCCAGATCGAGATTTGAACCAGGGACCTGCTCGCCGAGAGGCAGCAGCTCTACCAGTTGCGCCACCGTGCTGCCCATTATAACTTCTTAATTAACTTTTATACTCCTATAACTCTTAATTAATCCAGACAATCGTGGTTTTTATCTTTTTGTTTTTCCAAGTGCTATGCAGTGCATTCCTAAAAGGCACAATTCATAGTGTTTCATTTGTTTTCTCATACGTAGCTTTGCGTTTTGCAGCAATAATTGAAAACGGATGAGAGGTCTACATTATCAGCATCATTATTTAACACTTCAGAAATCAGAAGGTCATCACTCCTGCAGCGCCTTTCGTTTACTACAAAACCATCTTTTTACGCACTGCATACTTTGTTCTTGCAGCACGACCTAATGATCTTGATCATTTAACACGACTGGTACCTCTGAATCAGGTTTGAAGCAGGACTTCACGATGGCGTTTAAAAATAAACCCATCACGTGACCACGGTCTACGGTTGTTCTGAGAAACTGGGCTTAGAGTTGAGCGGCTGCTTAAAATGTTGAAAAAGTTTACACCGCAACTAATCGTAAAATGTACAGGGAAGAACAAATTATTCCGAGTTGGCTAAAGAAGCCATAACACAACATTGTTCTATTATATTTTGAATTAATTAACATATCTAATAATTGTAAAAAAAAAAAAAAAACAGTTACCCACCTCGATGAGAAATCTTGCTGGACCATGTGCAGTTTTCCTTTAAAGTTTTCAAACATGATTTCTCTCGGTGCCAAATGAGTAGACGACCCCTTAGCTTGAAGCTATCACTTCTTCTTCTTCTTCTTCTTCTTCTTCTTCTTCTTCTTCTTCTTCT